TGAAATATTCACTTTGTAAGCTAACTAATGTGATTGAATGTATAAAAGAAAATGAAATTTAAGAAGTTCAGAAAAGAAAAAAAGAGAAATGTGGTATTATCTGTTGAACACAATTTTATAGTTTATCAACAGACTAGGGAGAAATGTTCACATGTTGGAATATTCACTTTGTAAGCTAACTAATGTGATCAAATGTATAAAAGAAAATAAAATATAAAATAAATTTTAAAAAGAAACACAAAAAATATTCAAAAGAAGCAAACATAAGGGTAGGGATATTAAAATAGGATTACTTGATAGATATGAACCAACCACCTCTACATTAAATGCAGTCCTAATTTTTAAACCCTGTCTTTAATATAGCTTCATCCATTTCTAAGGAAAAGCCAACTGACAAATAGCATTGAATACAACATGATCCTTGATGAAAACAGAAATATGATACAGTATGATATCCACAACCTTGTGAGATTTTCTAATAACAGCTGGCTGTTAGTTAAAGTAGGAGATTTTGTCTACAGGAACACCCATGATCACGACTTGGTCATCCATGAAGAGGTGGTAAACTGGCCTGTTAAATTCAAAGAGGTACAATGTCATTTCAATATGAAATACATATAGAGGTGGGGAAAGCAGGTTGCATAGTAGTTATGTCATTAGAATCCCACATCATTAACTGCAGTTTGAGTTCTGGACCCGGTGGTTTAAAATTCATGCCGGATGCATGTGCATAAGTGCCCAAGATCCCAGTAGGAGAACAAAAAGAAGGGATTTCAACCTGGCCATTCCCCCAGGGGGTGATTTTTTACTTTTTCTCTCACTGTCTCTTTCTCTTTCATTAGTACACACACCCTAAGATAAAAATCTCTAAAAACCAAACAAAATATTCAAAATATATACTGTGTGATATATAGTGATATCTGAACAGTCTTGAAGTTAAATCTTGTGACTGCTTTAACTCAGTAGTAAGTTTGATATTTATGGGACCAGCAGGTGACATCACAGTGAAGACACTGGATTCAGACATGGTCAACCATGGTTTCACTTCTGGATCTGGTGACTTGAAAATCATGCCTGGCTTGTGCATGCACGTGCATGCCCAAAATCTGTAGAGCAGAATGGAAGCGAAGTGATTGTGGGTGTGCCCACCCCCATAAAGATTAATTTCTCCTAATTATCTCTCTGTCCCTGTTTCTCACTGACAAACACACACAACCTATGCAAAATCTAAAGAAAAGTGAATTAAACTCTTGTCTCAGTGAAAATATAAAATAAAAAATTTGCCTTTAACATTCAGAATTTGTACTACTCAATTTTTCTTATGTACATGCTCAACTATAGAAAAACTTCCAATTTTTATTAAATGATTTGTTATCATATGTCTGTTCAGGCAGCAGTCTAATTAATATCAATAAGGTGATAGATATGTATACAGAATTGAATGTTGTTTAATAAGAGAAATATTTTCTGATAATACATTTATAACTTTTTGTGCTTTTGCCTTAGAGAGTTATTTGGTAGAGGGTATATGAGCTCACCTAAAAGACAGAGAGACAGAAAGTGAGAAATCACCCTCCAGAGGGGATGGCCATGCCATAATCCCTTCTTCTTTATTCTGCTCTTGGGATTTTGTACACGCACACATATGCACCTGATATGAGTATCAAGCTGCCTGGCCTGAGACCCAAAATGGGGTCAGCCAAGTGGAAGTCCAGTGACATAATCACTATGCCATCTATTGGTTCCTGAGAAATGTGTTTATCAGACTTTTGTCATTGTGCGAACATCAAAGATTGCACTTACACAATCCTAGATGATATTGCACACCACGCATGGGATTTATATGGCCTAACCTATTATTTCATGGTACCACTATCATATATGTTGTTTATCATTTACTGAAATGTCTTCTGTCTTTATGGAGCACATGACTCTTTTGTGTGTTTGTATGTGCGTGTATGTATAAAAAATATCCCTGTCTATGTCCTAAAACCTTTTATTATTTGTGAACAAATTCCTTCTCATATTTTGTGAACAAAGTCCTGTAAAAACAAGTAGATTATACATTAATACACTCTTTACATTTTTGAGGATACTATTCACATTTTCTCTTGTCATTTTGCAAACCATTCTTATTTTTCAGAAATTATTTATTTAATTTAATATCTATTCTTTTTCTGCTGCTGGTTCTTCTTCTGCTTCTGATGCTTCTTCTTCAACTTGACTAGAGACTGACAGAGAGGATAAGTGTGAAAGCAAGCCACTGGGTTTAGTACTTAAACCATGTGAATCTGGTGCCTTCACCACTATTGCACCTTCCAGTACCTTGTATACCACTCTTCATTGTACTAAACATGTCCAAATGACTATAATCTCAGGCAATTAGATGGTGCAGAAGATTTATATAAATATCATGCTTTGCACATTTACTGTCTTAATATATGAAAAGCAGTGCTCAACTGGCCTCAGAACACACAAGTGGAGTACCCACACTTTCATCATGTATCTGTTTGCCCATGAATTTTAAGTTATCATTTTTATCATTATTAGATATTTAAAAATTCAGAAACAAAAATTTTCTACCCAACTACATATGAAGATATAGTATAAATACTCTCAGAAACAAAAATTTTCAGAGTCTTTACCATGTAAAACCTGCATTGAAATGGTTTTGGATGAGATGACTGCATAAGACAAGAGAATGAGACAAGGAATATTTTTAGTCATGTATGGAATAAAGTAATTAGGTAAAATATCCAGTAAAAATACATGAAGGGGACTGGCAGGTGGTATAGTGGCTAAAGCACTGGACTCCCACATGGTTTATTATGGTTTGAGTCCCAGAAATGATGACTTGCTTTCTCACTTTTCTTTCTCTCTCTTGCTTTCTGTGTCTTTGTGATCAAATTTAAAAAATGATAATAAATTAAATGAAATAAATAATTATTTAAAAATATAATAAAACATAAACAAGAAAGCTAAGTATACTAGATCATTAGAGGTCTCAATAATGGGGGTTAGCAGGTAGCACAGGCTCTGGATTCCCACGTGACTGACTGCAGGTTGAGTCCTGAACCTGGAGACTTGAAAGTCACACCCAATACAGGTGCATCAATGCCAAAATTCTTGATAAGAGAATAAAGATGGGATTTTGGTACAGCAATTCCCTCAGGGGGTGATTTCCCTCTCTGTCTCACTGTCTCTCTGGCAAGCTCATGCACCCTGTAGCTGAAATTCCTCTTTGAAAAGAAAATACTATAAAGATGCCAAGTAATATCAAAAGGTTAAACAGTGCTGAACTATTAAAGGTGAAAATTTTCTTAGAGGTAAAGAGAAAATAGAACATTCCATCAAGCATCTCATAACATACATGATAATGACTAATGATTCTCTTTTCTGCTCAGACTCCTAAATCTGTGTGTAGTCAAAGCTGTGTCCCTGGATTCCAGAAAATTCCCCAAGAAGGAAGACCTGTTTGCTGCTTTATTTGTGTTTCTTGCCCGGAGTCAGATATTTCAAACCAAACAGGTATGAAATATCTAACTACATTGTTAGTTCCTACTATTGCTCAATAAAAATAAAACTATTACTATTAGAAATAAAACATAAGCCAGTTGGCGGCATGGTGGTAAATACACTGTCCCATGTGGCCAGTCATGGTTCACTTCCCAACCCTGAGGCTTGGAGGTCATGCCAGGCACATGTGCATGCATGTCCAAATGCCTAAGAGGAGAAAAGAAAAGAGATTGTGGCATGGCCATCCACCCAGAGGATGATTTCTTAATTTCTGTCTTTCTGTCTCTCTTGCGAGTCCATATGCCCTATAGCAAAAATCTCTCTCACGCACATAAATAGAACTAAAACATAGAACATCATTATTCATAATTTACATACTCATATTTTGGATATTTTTATTTTATACACACTATTCTACCCTATTATGTATACGCTGTTTTCTGGCCATGCTCATTCTATTAGGCTCAACTGTGAAACTATTTCCAGTGGAAACCCTTACAGTTTGGTGTTGGGTAAGATAGTATCAATCTTAGATCTCATACTGGACCATGTTAGTCATAAAATAAAAGAGGCATCATTATTGGAGTTACCTTTGGGCGCCTTAAACTTTGAGTCTGACTTTTATTTCTAGATGATAAGCTAAAAATAATTACATATATGTGAAACTGGAAATGGAAAATTACTGATAATAATATACATGATTAAGCCACTATGCAGTATATTCTGGATAGGAAACCATTTTTTGAATGTTGTAACAATGATTAGGGGATGAATGTATATTAATTAATTTTAAAAAGTTTCAGGAAAAAAATACATATTTGATGGCCCCAGCTAGGTGCTACTATATAGTAAGTTCATTCTACTCAGTGAGGTTTATGCCTAAAGTGAGACTTGAGTTCATGGATATGTATATATCAGCTGTGTTTGCTATTGGAAATATTTAGATTAATTAGGTTCATTAGCAAATCAATAAAATGGGGTGGGGAGGGAGGCATAGAAAACAACCATGGATACCAGGGACAGTGTGGGAGGAGAGTGGGACATAGCAGAGGGTGAGAGATAGGGAATCAAGGATGGCCAAAAAAGGCAAAATATACAGGAAACAAGAAATGGAATATTATTTGTTAATAACACATATGTTGATGTGCTTGACTGAACCAATATACAGTGTATTCTGAATGGGAAATCTCGTTTTGTATGCTGTAATGTTGTAAGGTGAATGAATATAAATAAATAAATTTTAAAAATAATTACAGATAAATCAAGAAAATATTTTATGACTTTTACAACCAAGCTCAAACATCTGTGAAATTAAGTACAAAGAACTGACTAATATCAGAATACCACACTTGAAATATATAGCAGAAAGATAAACAAAGTTTAAAAATGACTCAACATTCTAATACATTTCACATTTGGGCATCTCAAAATTTGCCATCATACAAAATATACTACCAGGAAGACACCTTCATGACTCCTGAGAACTAGTGATTTCAGGAAAAAAGGAATGAAGCTTTTCTACTGATAATTCAGCCTCCAGCCCACCAATCCCAGTGGAGGCAAGGGAGCAGGCCTCAGTAGACACCTTCACGGCTCCTAAGAACCAGTGATTTCAGGGAAAAAAGAAATGAGGCTTTTCTACTGATAACTCAGCCTGCAGCCCACAAACTCCAGTGGTAGGAGCTCCCTCAAGCCTTCTCTATGCCTCTGCCTCTGCTTCTGCCTCTGCCTCTGTCTCTCTATACCTCTGTCTTCTCATTTTATTTTTTCGTAATTTTTCCTTTCTAAAATTTTTAAAGGTAAAGCATTTTCTCGGCTTTCAGCACCCCTGCTCCCTTTATCTTGTTAATAATACCCTCTCCTCCTCCCAACCCAGGAGAGGCAAGGGAGCAGGCCTCAGAACACACCTTCATGGCTCCTGAGAACTAGTGATTTCATGTGGTGCACAAGCACACCACACGGTTTTCTAATTTTTGCTTTTTAAAAAAAAAAATATATATATATATATTTAGTTTTTCTGTCCTCTTTTTTTTCTCTGTTTCTTGGTTGTTTTTGTTGCTGTTGTTTCTATCTCTCTGTTTTCTTTTCTGCATGCTCCTGGATGCTCATATTGAACTTCAAATTTGGAAAAAAAAAAAAACACATTCATCAAATGTCTAGAAATCACTGCAGAACCACAAGAAATATGGGAAAGCAAGAAAATACCTCTCCTGCAAGAGAAAAGAATAAATCCTCTTCATCCACAGACAGTTCAATGGAAATCATGGAAATGTTTGATAAAGAATTTAGAACATTCATAAGGCAAACCTAACAGAGTTGGAAGAGATAAGAGACAATGAACTGCAGAAGAGAAAGGAGAAAGGAGCTGACAAGTTCTGGGAGGTGAGGAAATTCTTGCAAGATCTAAAAGAGGAATTACACACTTTAAAAAAAGAATCAAACAAAACTGTTGGAGATGAAGACTATAATACAGGAGGTCAAAATATCTCTTGAAAGTATTAAAAGCAGATCAGATCATACAGAAACTAGAACCTCAGATGTAGAAGAGAAAATTGCTGGCCTAAAAAAAATCCACCATGAAGACTGAGAAAATTGCCCCAAAATTTGAGAATAATATATGAAAAATAGTAGATACCATCAATGTGCAAGCATCTGGATAACTGGCAATCCAGAAGGTGAAGAGACTCATAAGGGCATTGATAATCTATTCCATGAAATCCTGCAATAAAACTTTCCAAACCTAGATTGACACTCAAAGATCCAGTCCCAATAAATACAAAGGATCCCTAATAGAATCAACCCAAGAAGATCATCTCTGATTCACATTACAGCCAGACTGACCAAAACCACAGACAAAGACAAGATACTAAGATTGGCAAAAAGGAAACAGCAAGTTACCTACAAAGGATATCCCATCAGACTAACAGCAGACCTCTCATTGGTAACAATGCAAACAAGGAAAGAATGGGAAAATATATTCAAAGTGTTAAGGGAAAAGCAATTGCAACTGAGAATACTGTACCCGGCAAGGTTATCCTTCATATGGGAAGAAAAGACAAGAAACATATCAGATAAACAGAATCTGAAAGTATTTACCAGCACCAGACCATATCTTCAAGAATTCTCAAGGGAGTGCTATGTCAAGAAAATTAAATGTAGTAGCACAGAAAAAAAGAGATCAAAAAACTAAGAAAATGGCCAACCTAATCATAGGGACAAGTCTGGAGTTGCATATTATATCCCAGAATTCAGTTGGGAAGGTTGAACCACAACAGATGATAGATTAAGTACA